GAGCGCACCTATTCAATTTGAACTGGTCAGGTTTTATGTAACTTACTTAATTAAGTCAAAACTATGTTGGATAAAGGTATTAAAGTTGTTGAATTATTTTGCGATCATCGATTCTAAGCTTCAATGTTCTTGAAAATCTCAAATTGAAATGATAAAAAGCTGCAGAAACTCTGAACCCGAAGGTTTTCAGATCCTTTGGGTTCTAAGAACCTCAGACTGTAAAACAGCTTAACTTCATTGCAGAAATTCAGAAGCAGTTCTGCTGAGAAAAATTTTTTGATATTTAGAAATATTACATATTTATTGATATTTAACTCCATCACAAATAAACATGTATATATTAGCATTTTTTGAGTTGTTGACTTTACAATAACAAGTCCACAAAGCTTTATGTCATAAAATCCAAACAATTTTATGACGTTTCAACTCAGTTGCCATACTTTTGCTGACAAGGGAAAGTTTACCTAAGAAATCAATGTTTTCTAGTTCGTATTTGTTTTGAATTTATTTTATAATCCAAGAGCTATTTTTTTTGTTCTAAAGTGTTTTTTTTTATTAAGGTTTTTAGTTTAAGTCAAAGTTTAAAACTTAAAACTCTCTTTATAAACATTCAACAGAAATGTTGATGCTCTTTTCTCACTTCTCTTATTTGCACTTGCTCTGTTTGCACACTCAAGTGTTACTCACTTGAAAGTGTTATTAGCAGAGAATAACCTGCATTATTGAGCAGAACAAGATGTAAATGTATAACATCACCAGATTAAAAACAAACACACTTGCACGATGAGTTCTTTGAAATCGGCCGTTCTTTGCTAATTTCCCTGTGACACAAGGATTACCTCCAAATCTTTGCAGTGTGTCATACACTGTGCTGTGTGGGTGTGTTACTCCACCAAAACAAAACAAACAACAGCAATATTAAACTTCTGCAGCCACAATAGAAGAGGGGGGGAGTAATAAAAAACAGAGGGTCCTCAACTTCTTATTAATTATGCAAGATTAGTCTAATTATAATTCAGCAAATGAATGTGTGGCAGAAGGTGCGAGGCGACGGGGCTGGGAGATTTGCATGTTAAGTGGGCAGAGGGAAGCGGCTAATGCATGCTAATATATGCGTCAATGTCTCGCTTTAATTTCAGCATTTGCAGCTGTGTGCGTCCGAACTGAGGGGGGTGAAAAGTTGACTCAATGGGTTTTTGGGTAAGGGAACTGGGGGGTGCAAAGGTGGGTGTGTCAGCGTATTAAAGAGTGTGTGTGTGTGTCAGTGTGTGTGTTTCTACATGCCAGTGTGTGTGTGTGTGAGGCATCTGGTTTCATATAAACAAGAAATGATGAGTAGAAGTCAACAAATAAGGTCAAGGACCCTCAGAAAGTGCAAAAAGCCAGAAATGGATGTAGACAGTTGCTGAATTAGGGTTGTGGTTTTCTTGGCCCTCGGTCGTCAGTTCAGTGAAACACTGTCATGTCATCCAGTTAAACGTGTGACAACTAATTGTTACATTGTGTGCAAAAAGGCTGGCGCTACCAAACCTCGTCATTTTCTGTGTAAACATATACATATATCAAATGTATTTAATCTTCTTAAACCTAATTCTGTCCATCCATCCATCATATTCCACTTATCTGAGCTTGGATAATAATTTTGACACTGCAAAATAAATTCCTTTGCAACTTCTTACTATTAGACATCATTTAATCAGAAAAAAGTCCATCACTCTGAACTGCCTAGTTGCTGAAAATGTGCTGTATAGATACAATTACCCTACGTAGCTGTGTGTAATTTTATCAAATATAGCTGCTCCTCTAAGGCTCTGAGATTAGTTAGTGCCACTGTTGCCTTTTAGCAAGAAGGTCCTGGGTTCGAGTCCCAGCCTGGGGTCTAAATGCTTGGAGTTTTCATGTTCTCCCTGTACATCTGGCTTCTCCTCACAGTCCAAAAACATGACTCTTGGGTTAACTTGTCTCTGAATTCTCCTTAGAAGTGAATGTGTGTGCATGGTTGTTTGTCCTGTTTGTCTCTGACTGGTGACCAGTACCCGGCCTCATGCCCCTTAAATTACTTACCAATCTGTGGCAACACTTGACGACGGATTCTCAAAAATGCTTCCCTCTGACGTTTTCCATCTTGAGCTGTACAAATCTGGTGGACTCATAGCCTAAACACTTAATTTAAGAGAACTAAGAATACAAACACATGACACACTTTTCCAGATTTTTCATTAAGCATCCCTCCCACTATGCCTGTATGGACTATTTTGTGCTTGTGTGTCTCAAAACATAAAACACTGATCAAAGTTTGTTGTTCTAACATGAAAAAACAAAAAAAGCTCTTCAAGTGACGTGAATATTTTTGCAATTTGATACTGCTTGATTTTCAAAGATGTGCTCAGCCAGCGTTAGAGTAACACACCTCATAACTTTTCTGTAAGATTTTAAACCATGAAGTTGTCCACAACGTTGATGATCTATAAGAAGTGAAATCTCAATGTGATGTGTGAGAGGCACAGATGGGTCCTTTCACATTTTCACTCCAAACTGAGATCTACCGCAGCTCTGAGGTGGAAGGTCCGAGCTCTGAAAGATAAATTGTAATCACTCTCTGCCAACAACAATATTGATTGTCCTCTGAGCGCATAACTCAACTCCAGTAATATTGGAACTGAGAACTAGTTTCAAGCCAGGTCCTGTTCACAAGGGAGGAAACTGGAGCGAGCGATGGAGGAATGATCAGTAAAAGCTGAGAGAATGAGGGAGAGATTAGTATTCGATGGGAGGATTCAGGGCTGTGGGGCCAATATGAATTTCCTCTCCACACAGCCGCTCCACATTAAGATGAATTATGTTTGCAAAGAACACAGTGTGGGTGGGATCAAACCAACCCACGTGAGCCAAAAAAACGCTGCCTCCTTCTGTGGCATTTTTCTCCTCACTGTTATTGTTTGCTTAGTGGAAACAGCGACAGTGATTTAACAAGTACTTCACTGAAGTAAAATGCAATGAAATGCTGGAAGAAATGAGAAAAGAATTACTTTAATATAAGTACAGAAAGATACTTTGAGGAGAGTTGGATTCATGGTGCATCTGTGGTCTGATTGTTTCTGCTGCTGCTTCAGAAGCAGAGCGACACCTGGGGAATACTAATGAATATTATTTTATGCAAAACATAGTTCATACATATATAAAACTCTGACTTTTTTCCTTCAGGATTACATCCAAAACATTCAGACACAACAAATGACAGTAAGTGAAACTATTAAGAGGTCAAGACATCACAAACGTAAGAAAGATGTTGAATGATAGAACTAAAAATCTTTTTGTCATTTTGATTAAAATATCAATTAAATTATTATTTTATGCAATTTAGAGTATTACATAAAATACTCTAAATATTTTATTCAATATAAAATATTTTGTATATTTTATATTGCTCTATAAAATAAAATGTCGCTATGTCATTTTATTTAAAACTTAAATAAAGTTTTAAGTTTATTTAGTAATAAATAAACATAAAACCGAGGTAAGAAGTTATATGTAAAGGAATAAAAATCTGATAAGTTGATCTAACAGAGTATTTTGTTAGATCAACAAAATACTCTAAATGACCTATTATGCAGTTTTGAAAGCACGCAAAAATAGACTGTGATTTTAAAGGATTTGCTGTTAATTTTATGGTAAAACCGCAAGCTGGGGTTGCAGCTGCAGTAATCCCAGAAGGTCGACCATCAACAGGTAACAGGAGTTTTGTCAGGGAGCCTCTGTTAGGACCTGGACCCTGATTTGAACATTTCTACAAATAACTCTCCTTCCTTTTGAAGAGTGTAAATAGGAGAGTAATTTAGCACCCACTTTTAACCATTACTTACTAAAGTAAACTCAACAACTGAGCCAAGTTTCACACAACCATGTTTTAGTCACATTATGATTGAGTTTTTGACAGACATTTTTTGAAAATCGAGTGGACACTTAGTTTAATATCAGAATTTTTGTTGTAGCGTGGTCACCATGCAGCTCAGGTGTTTGTTTGTTTTTTTTGTTTTTTTATTCAAGCTTCTTTATGGCCTTGCAAAACATCTGAACAGATCTTCTTAACCTCATCCTCCCCTCCCATCACTTTGTATCCTTTTCCTATGTTTATTTCTATATTCTCTATTCGTCTTTTCGCCGTATTTCCATCACAGAGAATTTCTGTGATGGAATGCGCTCCAGTTTCTTCCTTCTCTTTCCCATCTTTGCCTCTTAGCGTGGGGACTTTGGGATTGCGGCAGAGCTGCGTTGCCATGGCAGCTGGCTATGTTTCCGAACCGCGTACACCTGGGATTTGGAGTCTCTCTCAGTAGTCTCCCTCTCTTCTATTTATTCCACCTTTCTTTCAGGTTTTCTCTGGTGTAGCTCAGGCTATCAGCACTCCCTCCCCCACTGTCTTCAGCTCCACAGTGCGTTGGATTGAAGTTACATACGTGATGAGACACATATACTTGGAAAAAAATAAAATAAAAAATCATGTCCATGCGAGCACCTGCACATGCCTCCTTCCCTACCTTCGTCCTGCCACTTCCTCATTTAATTTTCTCTGTGGCTGTCTCTACTTCGTTTCCCTCTGCGCTCCCATGTGGGGTTCAAATATGGCATTGTGGGATACCACAGTCCCCTGAGTCCGCTGGCATACATCATTGTCTCTGGTTTACTTTGAAACGCAGCAGCACTTTTCACTCGGCTTGCGCTTCCAGATCTCATTACTTGATTTAAAGTGTAACAACATTGACTTTAAAACTAAACTAAACAGCTGGGATTTATGTCAGAACTGTAATCACATGTACATACATGCAATCACTACAGGACCTATGTCTGTGAAAAAAAAGAAAAAAGAAAAAAAAAGCCTTCTTTGGCTTTTGGTATGTGGAAAAGGGGGAAATAATTACATACTGGAAACTGTCATAGAGTTTCTTTGCTGCTGATGTTAAAATTTTTTTTAATATGTACCCTTTTGTTTACCTTTGCAGGTTTTTCTTGAAGTTTTTCCTGAAATGCAACCAGAACTGCCTGAAGACAGCAGGCAACCCGAGGGATATGAGGAGATTCCAGGTACATAAAAGATGTTTATGTGTGTGCGTGTGCACTTGTGTGTGGACATAAAAAAGTGGGAATACCAGAGGATGAAGAATTTAGTCGCTGTGATAAAAGAGCACCTTTATGCTCTTCTATTATAAGACACTCTACTCTCCCATTCAGTCTCTTTCTAGGTAAACTGTAGTACTAAAAACCTTTTAATTTAGGCTTCATCTCTCCACAAAGACTCAAGCTGGACAGCTGAATTGTATGATGGAGACAAAATAGACCCTCAGATGTTTTCCGAGCTGAGCTTATGTGATCAAAGAGAATGACCAGTTGTTTTTCTCAGATAGTTTGCTTCACTTTGGGCAGGTGTGAAAACGCGCCTCTTTCTCTGTTTACCTGAGTGACCTCTGGTGCAGGTCTCTTACTGTGGAAATGCATCCAAACTATCCATTAAGCCAAAACCAACGAGAAGAAGAAAAGCCCAGGCTTTTAAATCCACATCTGGTGTCTGTGGCACATCAGCAGCACGTTTCACATGGTGTGATGTTTTTTGTTCATTTGTAGTTTGGCTGATGGTTCATTTCCCTGCCTGCTGCGTCCACTGGGCCTGGTGACAGTGCCCCAAATGACTTGATACTATGACTGTATGAGGTTGTCCAGCCTGCCCGGCCTGCTGTCAATGAGTGCAGGATGAAAGTGAAACAAGCCAAGTGAAGTCAATCTTTCCACATTTCCTGCTTAGCTGAACCTCGGGCCATCAAAGTGTGAAAATGCCCTCAGTTTAGCCAGATTAAAAAATTTGTTTCTCTCAACATATCGTTTTTTTCTAATATTCTATGGTGTAAAATATTACACCATAGAATATTAGTTTATACAAAATTACTGTTTATACAGGCGACTTTCATAAACTCTTTGATGAGACAAAACAAGTGCAGGTTAATATCCTATTTCCTTAAATACACAATAGGAACCTTGGCAGACAGTTTGTTTACTTATGATAAAAAGTGTCTTATATCTGCAAAACTCTCCAGGAAGAGGAAGAACTCTAATCTACCAACTCTAAACAGCTTTTAGCTACTTGGCTCTAATGACATGGCTCTCATGTTGTCTGAAAATGTGCACCTGATTGGCTGCTCCCCCATCACATTCAAAAGAAAAACTTTGTTGCTCCTATTCCAGCAAGTTTATCATTACCTCATCACACTGTTCACTTTTCTGAAAGTAAATTCACCCTTTTTTTGTACAAATGCCTTCAGCATGCTCAGCATTACTCATTTATTCAAGTGCATGCTTCGGTTCTGAATCCGAAGCAAAAAGACACTCCAAAAGTCACAACCAGAAGAAACCAGACCACAGAAAAATAACGGTAACTACCAGGACTCTGAATTAGAGTGTCTCTTTTAGTTTGGTCCATTTATCAAAAGTAGAGATCATTCAAATACCCAGCATTGTGTTTTTCATCAATTGTTCATGTTTATTTGTCTTTCAATACTTGTAGATCAGGAAACAAACAGGAATATTTCTCCTTCTTTTATATGAGTATATTTTTTAAAAGTTAAGTCATTTGTAGATAAATTAACTTTATTGACAAGCTATGAGACTGATTTTATTTTTGACATCCAAAGAGAATATTTGGTTTCTGAGAAGATGAGAGTTGTTGAAGTTGTCACATGGCAAATCTCTGGGAAAGTTTTCCAGTGGAAGTCATACTGGAGAAAGAAGTTAAAGGTGAAAGCTAGAAATCAATAAGGAGTCAGAGAGATGGAAAGACAAACCAAAGAGTTATATATGTGGGAGACATGGCTGTGGGGGCGCCTGGGTGCAGGAAATAGGTTGAGGTGTTTCAGGAAGTTGTCAAGAATTGAGTGATTGGCTCCAGATGGGGAAGGTCATGCTCCGTGACCCAGGAAGTGGTCACAAGGGACTCCTCGAGCTCACTTCCTTTGCCGTCTTTCAGCACCAGCGGCCTCTCTCTGGCATTCTCCTTTGCCCGGCAAAGCCTTGTGTCCGGCTGCCCCCGCCCCTCTCCGTCCTCGTCTCCCACCATGTTTGCTTTAACTCCTGTGGTGTGACACATGCTGAGAAGTTATGAGTACACGAGCGCTCCAAACTCTGGGCCTCTGGGTTAAAAGGTGATCAGGGCTGGGCAGGAGTTCGCTGCTTGATCGATAATTTACAGTTATTTTCCTTTCCCTTCCACCACCTATGGAACATATGTTTTCCCCCCTCTCTTTTGCTTTGCTCCTTCACCTGCAAAATTTCATTATGTCTGTCTTTTAAGGTGAAGGTTTATTATACATGTCACTTCAAAATATATGTCATAAATCTATTTACAATATCAATATTGTAAATAATAAGGGCAAAAACGTGGGACTATCCCCTTGTTAAGCGAATGAAGTGCCACCTATGGGGTGCAGATGTAAGTGGGAACATGCAGTCGGCAGAAAATCACATTATGGGTGCCATATATCATCCACTGCTTTAACAACCAGCTGAAACAGGAGATTCGGTTCATATGTTTGTTGTCATTGAAGGATTAAGAGGCGACAACGTGAGCCTGCTGCGTGCTATATGAATCAAAAAGTTAGTCTAGAGGCAGAAGGAGAGGCCATATGGTGACCCAGTGGAGGAGTGAAGGGGTGTGAGAGCCCCAGAATGCAGATGTGTTGTGGAAATCCCTGAGATGTCAGATCATCCATTAAAGAAATATGACCGTCACCTGTACAGAAAAACAAATTGTTGCTCTGGGATTTTCACACTTGTAACTTGATATTTTGACTCTTAGCCCGCAGCCTAAATGCTTCATCGACGCTCATGCGTCTTCCTCTTTGCCCCCTCTGTCCTCTCGCTCAGGTGGTCTTGTCCAGCACAGTGAGTGTAGATGGACACGTCCTGGCCGTGTCAGACAACATGTTCGTCCACAACAACTCAAAACATGGCCGGAGAGCTCGCCGACTGGAGCCGGGAGAGTCTGTGGAGAATACCATGGAATATGGTAGGACAGTAAGATAAGAGGTTTCATTTACCTCTTATCTTATAAATACTTCATAAAAGTATTTATACGCTTTTTCATTTTTTGTCACATTACAAACACACACTACGTATTTTATCTGAATCAAAGATTGAGATTATAATTTATTTATACACAGTAGGCAACAAGTTGAGCCAAATTGTATTTGAGGGTATCAGAGTCAAGGAGGCTGAATAAAAGGTCTTATGTGCTACTTTTTGTTGATCTATACCATAAAATCTCGAGGATATGATGTCATAAGCGGTGGAGAAAAATCAAAAGGGTGTGAATACACTGAACATAAACCAAGAAAAATATATATAGTAACCAGTGTTATTGGAAATCTCACTGGGTATCGAACAACTTTGTTCCACTTTGTTAAAGTTTCACATATTTGAGAGGAAAAAAAGAATGACTTTACAAGATCATTTAAAACAAGCCTAATACTAGTAATATTTTAATTTCTGCACTAAATAATGAAAGAGTCAGATCATTTTTCCAACTCTATCCGGACATTTGTCCTGTATTCAACCCAACTTTTAAATGAGGATGTCTGTGCATGGTGCATGACTTTAAGTCACACAAACTCTTTTCAAGCAGCGGTTTTAGCCTAAGATAACACACATTTATATTTTGATTTTAATCTTCAAACCTTTCTGACTGAGTCCATACAGTGCAAAAAGCTGTAAAAGTTGGTAGGACTTTTACAGGAAACTTTGAACTTTGAACTTTTTCACATTTTGTCACAATTCAATCACAAATCAATGTATTTAATCCAGGTTTTATGTAACGGTCCAAGAGAGTCATTGATGTACACTTGACACCCCCACTGTAACAGCATCATGATGTGGGAATGCTTTCTGCAGCATCAAATAAAAACCACGTCTCCTTTTTGTGTTGCTCTGTCACATAAGAAACATAAAAAATATGAACCATTAATGAATACTGCTGGAGGGCGCATACATGTAAAGTATGCCTAACACTTTTACCCTCATTTCTATACTTTTATTGATCGTCATTGTAGATTATGTTAATGAAGCTTTTCTCTCCTGTCTTAGCCACCCCCTGCATCAAAGCCATCAGCCCCAGCGAAGGCTGGACCACCGGCGGGGCGATGGTCATAGTCATTGGGGAGAACTTCTTCGACGGGCTGCAGGTGGTGTTTGGAAGCATGCTAGTGTGGAGTGAGGTAAGAGTTGTCTTCGAAACATCCCGCTAATGATGCTGCACATTGTGAAATGAAATGCGCAGCATATGGCTTGTCTCATTATTTGGGTGATTTATGAGCAGTCTTAACAATTGAATCTTCCCACAGTAATGAGTTAGCCTAAATATTTACAAGACGCGGGGAAGCGTTTTTTGGTGACACCGTTTGTGTGCTTTCTCCTCAGCTGATCACTCCTCACGCCATTCGTGTACAGACTCCTCCTCGACACATCCCTGGGGTCGTGGAGGTCACCCTGTCGTATAAATCGAAGCAGTTCTGCAAGGGAGCGCCTGGACGCTTCATCTACACAGGTATTAGGATGAACCATTTTTTTTAAAAGTTAGATCCAAAGATTTAAATAATTATTTCTAAAGCTTGACAATCTAATGATTTTTTTTCAGCCCTTAACGAGCCAACTATAGACTATGGTTTTCAACGACTTCAGAAAGTAATTCCCCGGCATCCAGGTGACCCAGAGAAGCTAGCCAAGGTGAGACAAGCGTTACCTAAACTTATCTTTAAAGGATGATGATTATTATTCGCTTGTCCTGGAGTTGTCAATTAAGTTTCTTATTTATTTATTTATTTTTACAGGAGATTCTTCTGAAAAGAGCAGCAGATCTTGTTGAGGCCCTATATGGAAATCCACACAGTAATCAGGTACTTAGAAACAAAACTGTTTCCTACATTCGAAATTGTTCGTCATCGAATATGGAACATAAAATACTTTAAAAATTGCCCTTGAATTATACATTGACAAACCCCTTGAACTTTTTTCTATTCTATTGTTGTGATCTTTCATTACCTGAGAAGATCCTGATCTAATGTATCCTCCCTGATTTTGCTCTTCTAATTGTGGCAATAAATTGTACAATTTGATAAATTCCACAAATTTAATTTTTAGTAAGCAATTGTGAGCACAACTTTTGCACAGGAATAAAAGAGGATTTTAAATATTATTAGCATTAACTGACAAGCAAAGGAAGCAACACAGGAAACAACAATATTAGTTTTCTTTTTAACTAGGTTCACAAGATATATTGGCATGGAAGAATCAGTAACCATTTATCAAACATTATCCACACTCAACAACATTACTCAGCATACGGTATGTGTTCAGAAAAAAACTGCACAAACTTTTTTGCTTTTTGCTGGCTCTGTGTGACCGTGATCCACATGAGTTCATGGTCCATTTAACATTACCTCATGTGAACATTGTATTAGACTATTTCTTTAGTACAGACCCATAATGCTAGATGGGTTGACAGGGTGTCACTTAAAGATTCTCAGTGTTACAGATTAATTAGTTCACTCCTGTTTACTACCAGAAATAGCAGCACCAACACATATCAGCCAATTGGCTTCATATTTTCTGAAACTGACCTGTTGTTTGTGACTTGCTGCAGGACATGCTGCTGAAACGTGCAGCTGACATTGCCGAGGCACTCTACAGCGTTCCCCGTCCTCACAGCCAGTTGCAGGCACTGCCCAGCTCACCAGCCCATGGGAGCGTCATGGGCCTGGGCTCCTATCCATCCCAGCTGGGGGTTAGCATTGGAGATCCAGGACAGAGCAGCCAAGGTTCACAAACTGAGCAAGCCAATCTTTTCTTCTGTCTGGCCAGTATAGCTTATGAGCCTACTCTGTTGTTTCCTTCAGGTTATATCCGTAACTCCAGCAGTTTGTCTCCGAGGGGTTACCCCTCAGCTTCCACTCCCCAGCAGTCGAGCTACGGAGGCAGCGGCGGGATGACTGGAGGCTATGGGACAGTTCCCATGACAAGTCTGGGAGTTCCTGGATCTCCTGGATTCAGCAGCGCCTCACCCACAAGCTCTCCCTACAGTAAGACCTACTGCTTACCAGGAACTCACAATGCTGATTCTGACTCAGTTTCAGGCTTAACACTGTTTTTCTCTCTGTTCCTCAGTAATGCCAGCAAGCCCCACAATACCAGGAAGCTCCAGTTCCTCGTCATCTCTCTTGCCTTTCTCCTCTTTCCCTTCTGCTGCTAAACAGAAGAGTGCTTTTGCTCCCGTCCTCAGGCCCCAAGGTTCTCCTTCCCCCGCCTGTCCCGCCTCAGGGGGGAACAGCTTCAGAGGTAGTCATCCAACTCACTATCTGACCCCGCTGTCTGAACTCACCAATGCAGTCTAACCCTATACTAACCAACTCAAAAGCTGTGACTGAACACGACTTGGGTGATGTACAGTAATGAAACGCCTGACTGATTTAGAATCATAGATTTTGTATATTTTTTTCTCTCCAGCGATGACGGGCCTGGTTGTCCCCCCGATGTAGCAAAGCACCTGCCCCCAATCTGCCCCAGACCACTGCTTCACTTACCTCCCCTTCTTTTTGGCACTGAGCAGGGAGACCGAAAAAAACTGATCACTAGTGAGCGTAACTTTTCCTCCCTGATTCCAACCACTGTCTCTCAGCCCCCCTTTTTTACGACCAGTCAGAGGAACGGGTGGGGTGTGGAAATGTCCAAAGACCAGCAATCTTCTCCAGATGCACAGGATAACGCATCAACCTCAGCTACAAACAGCAAGACTGGACAGTTCACTGCTGTATGTGAGTCTGACAGGAAACCTCTGTTTAATTTCACTTGAAGTTTCAAAAAGGATCTGTCTACAGCATCTAGTTTTTGCAATGCCTACAAAAGACTTACAGCATGCACTGCCGGATCGCTGTGCGTCGACGGATGCCGGACAGCTCAGATAAGAAGCCGCAGCCCTAAAATGTGGAGAGCTTACTTTGTGTGTGTACAGACATCCTAAATGGCATGTGCATACACTGTCTGTGAGCTAGAGAGAGGTTGTTTTGTAGTAGACTTTTAAAGACAACTTACATTCCAGAAAAGTAGAACCTTTATATTTTGTTTTGATTGTTTTTTCAAGGGAGAAATCTTTGTCTCATGGGTTATTACTAAAATGAATTCATATATTGATTTATTTAAGAACAAGCAATTTAACTTATTAAAGTTAGTTTAGGGAATAATATAAACGTGTTTTTATAAACTGGTTCTCTTTCCAACTGTTGATGAAATTAAGCAAGCTCTCCAATTGCCAATTACTTTGATAAATGACACTCTGTAATGGATTTTTTTTTGTGGAGTTTTGTTTTTTTTAATTAAACTTCCCTACTTTTCAGGTTCTTGCAAAAGCAATTATATGTGTTTTGCCCGCAGTTAAAGGTTATTGTCCTTGTGTAAAGGAAATATTAGTTAGCTGTATCCTTTTTATTTCCACTTAAAATGCATGCTTTGTTACACCCATGCTCTGGTACTTTTTCACCCTGACTAGTCTGTGAACTTTCATTTCCAATGTCTAGTCACTATGCAGTATAGGAAGCAAAAGCACAACAGCTCAAACAGAAAGAAGAAGGTGTGTTAAGTGGTCATTTATTGTCATGTTCATACAGCTGCAGTTCCTTGTAAAGGTATTCATACCTGTTGAGTTTTTCCACATTGTGTGAGGTTGCGGCACAAAACTGAAGCTCGTTGGGATTTAGAGAATAGATAGACCATTACAAAGTAGTGAAAAAAAATTATGTTGCACTTGATTTTCTACAGTTTTTTCAAATGAAAGTATGATAAGGGTGAAGGGCAAATTTGGCCCAAAACATGCTCCAAATTATTTGGGACATGTTTTATTACCAGCATTCTTCATTTACTGATTAATTTTTTTGCTTATATTACCGATTAGTAATATTATAAGGAGGACTGTGAACATATGTTTTCAGTTCTTCAGATTATCAATTGGTTAAAGTGTGGCCATTGACTGGGCCATTGTCTGGGCCATTGACTGGGCCATTGACTGGGCCATTGACTGGGCCATTCTAGCACATGAATATATTTTACACTAAAGCTCTTCTTTGTAGGTTTGACTCATTTGTGATGGCGAACAAATGAGTTTTGCAGTCTCTGACTGTTTCTCTTCTGGTTTTGTCTTTTATTGAGCTCAATTCACCTTCACATCCACTTGCCTATTGTTGCTGAAGAACATAAAAACCTCAGCATGATGCTGCCACTCCCAGTTTCACAGTGAAGATGATGTTTTCAGGGTGATTTGCTGTGTTAGAGTAAAGTTTGACCTAACCTATCAGAGTAACTTCTTTGCCTCTCCACATGACAAACTGTAAAAATGGGTTGACTTTTAGCAGTACTTTCTTCTTGTCCATAAAAGCCAGATTTGCAACAGATTCTCTCATCTTCACAAAGATCTCTGATGTTCTTCCAGCACAGGCTTCTTGGCTGGTTTTCTGATTAATGCTTTCCTCTTTCAGGCTCTAGGTATAGCTGGGTTGACATATCTTGATAGGTCTGAAGTTGTGCTATACTCTTTTTACTTCCAGATGATGGATTAAACTTTACTTTGTAAGATGTTAGAGCATTGATATATTGTTTTATGACCCAGTCCTGTATTAAGGTTTTCCAGAACCTTATCCCTGAATTGTCTGTTGACTTTCTGGGCATTCTTGCTGTTTTCTAAAAAAAGATCAAGTTGCAGCACTTTTAAGATGCACATTGAAGTTGCATGTGAAACATCAAAATCCTTTTCTACACTCCACAATTTTGCGTTACTTTGTGCTGGTCTGTCGCATAAGAACTCCACTAAAAGTGATTTGGTGGAAAATTACACAAAATTCAAGCCGTATGAATACTTTTAAAGGCATAGCATTATTCATCACAACACAAAACTCATTCTCAGGACGTGCACATAAAGAACGCAAAGGGTAGCTGAAGTAAGCAAATTTGTTTTTAGAGTTCACTTAATCTTATTTATTAAAAAATGTTAGCAATTTATTTTTATGTTTTTTAAGCCATGTTTTTTTGAAGTGATACAAAAAAAATGGTGCAAACGTGATTTGTAAATTCTAAGGTGTAATTATATTTTGTGCTCCAAATAAAACAAGTAAAAGGAAAAAATGAACTGAAGTGAGTTGAAGTGGTTATACATATTTCTTTATTATGTTACGCTGTGGTGTCCTGAACGTGAAGCTTTTCCTGCAAGCCTCCACATCTCAAGGTTGTGCCTGATCTATTTTTGACTGTGCCCATCACCTGTGTGCTCGTGCAGCTTGTTACACTGTTTTGTATACATAGCTGATGAGCCGCAGCATCTTAATTGTGATGCGAGCGTTAAAGACTGAGTAGAGCATGTCAAGATAAACAACATCCTCCTCCCTCCCTTCTTTCCTCCCCCCGTCTCTCTCCTCTCCAATAAGCCTGCTTTTCTCTGAGGACCAAGCCTCTGGGGGCCGGAGTGAGAACCACATGAGTCTCCTTCCAACGCGGCCTCTTCCTCTCTCTGTTAAAAAAGAAAAAAAAATACACTCACACACAGAGGCATGCGGCTCACCGCTGCCTTGCTTTCTTCAGTCTTTGTTTGGTGGTGCTTCATCCCGTCTTTCTTCCTCTCGCCTCTTATCCTCTCTTGCAATGGTCCTTCTCTGTTAATGTAATTAGCACTGCTAAAGAAGGGCAGTTAATTACCCACTCTATTTTGATCGGGTAATTAATGTTATGCCAGGAAACAGCAACTGTTTCATTAACATAGCCCTCAAAGCAGTGAGGGGGTAGGGTAAGCACCCATTGGTAGCAAGTCTGCGTGCGCTGTGGCGTTTTTGCAGTGACAATGAGCGGACGTGTGGACTTCAAACACCAGACACTGCCCACCTTTTAACCCCACAACCACTCGCTGGCCGTTTCTTCTTCCTCATCTCCCCTTCTTCCCTTTGATATGTTCTTAATTTGACAAGTTAAAGTCAGCTCTGTTGCCAGCACCTCAGCATTCATCTTGCTGAGTGTTCCTTCTGCCCAGCGGTGCAGGAGCCATATGCTCCTCTTCCACATGACGGCTTGGTTGTGAGTGCTGCGGCGCCGTTTACCGTTTTTCCCTGATCACAGTTTGGATAAAGACAGCATGAGGTGCCACCTGCCACCGAGTCATTCCACATCACACATCCACATCACCGCCATCCAGCTGTTGGGTAGTCGAAAGCCCTGCCGTGTCATCCTTCATTACCAGGACAGCTAAAATATGATGAGTTTTTTGTTTAACTTCACGCACCGCGTTTCTTGCTATAGACGAAACAGAAAACACACCCTTCCTTTCTCCCCTCTCAAGGGATATGTTTGTGTTTATATACCCAATTAGCCCTCTGGCCACAGCATGGCCATGCATTAGGCTGACATTAGCCCCGGGTGGGTGTGACGTCTGTGTGCATGTGTGCAAAATACAGTGAGCCCCTTTCTCATTTGAGGCATAATCAGGGGTGTGTGTGCCTTATTAGGCAGCCCGGGGTAGATCTTGACGGGGGTGGCCTACTGTTTTGTCAAATAGATTGGTAGATTGGCTTCCAAACACCCAGCCAGTGTCCTTTGCCTTTGGCCCATCAGTGAAACCAGCATTATTGCCCATTAGAGCGATGGACCCTGATTCTTTTTTTTTTCTTTCCAAAATGAATTCCCCACCCCTCTCCCTGCCATTCCCTTGGGTGTCACTAGAGTGGGGTGGCAGATGGAGGAGACACAGAGATGCCCCCAGAGACCGAACCCCCAAACCAAAAACACATACACACACATGCGCATTCACAAATAGGTGCACACACTAAAACATTTATGTATACAAATGCATGAGCACCACATATGCACAAATACACACACAGTAAAGCAACACAAAGATCCCCAGACAGAAACCTCATCTGTCAGCCTGCTGCTTTTGTCCGGTCCACAGGAGTGTATTCAGTGAACGCAGAGTGACGTCTCTGTACGATGCTTCCATGCCCCGAGTTCCTGGGTTTGTGATTGGGGTCAGACAGAAAAAAAGAGCTTCATAATGCTGCTAACTAATGCTGCAATCTAGATCCAACTGCTGCAGGTTATGACTGTTTAAAAAAAATACAGATCTACAGATCTATAGTTATTTATTCCTGTGATTTAGATTGATATGCTTGATATGGACATCTAAATTTGTCATCAGTTTTTTAGAAATACATATGTCAGAGAATCACAAATGAGACAACATATGAATCTTTAAATCTTCAAATATATTTATATTTATTGATGAAACTAAACTGGAAACAAAAAAAATGTTTCAAAACAGGCCAGCTTTTGACAGGGTCTCCAGACATTCTCAGATTGCTTATCATAACAACAAATCACCAATTTTATTGATATAATGTTTACCATAAGCAGCATGCAATGATTGCTCATCAAATGCATTATAATTTGCAGTGAGAAGTTCTTTGCTATTTTAATAGATTCCTTGCCGGAGGTGTTCCCAAGTCCAGTCATTAACAGCTGCTGCCCTGCAGCTTTTAGATGCACATCTTCTCAAACACACCTGTCTTAAATGAACGGCTCGTCAACAGGCTTCTTCAGAGCTGAGAAAAAGTTCAGCTATTTTATTTGGGCCTTGGAGAAGGTTTGAAAAATATGTAAAGAATGAAACATGAAATAACCTAGAAAAAAAATATAATACCATGACACAGTGTGACTATGCATGCTTAAAAACCAAGGCGTGTTTTGAAGAGTTGCTGGTGATGCAAATGTGAGTATTATGTAACCTCAACACTTTTCAGCTTTATGTCATGTTATGTTGTTATTCCTCTTTTGAAAGCACCCTGCTTTTGACACCCAGTGTTGCTTTGATTTGTTCAGCCATGTTTGAGCAACACCTGAACCTGCAGTAGCAGCCATGCAGGGTTGTCTAAAGCTTGCTTATAGAAAGTGCTGCCCGTTTACCCAAAGCTGCATCTTAGAACTGCAGAGCAGTCCTTCACTTTACCTTCCCTACTCAGACTAGCAGCAGCACCAATTAGCAAACACCTGGAGGAGCTACACATCTGCTGAGCTTTACATACAAACTGCCTCTCAGTTCAACAGTCCTAAGAATGGTTGTAAACAGTATTATGGAGGAGCACTGTTGTTGTCATGATGCTGAAAGGGAAAGATAATCTAAAATAGGTAAGATGGGACATTTTGTAAAGTTTTTAGGGTTGTTTTATGTAATTTGGTGTCACAAAAGGGAAGAAAAAATACCTTAAAAAAGAAAAGTTCACCCTCCTGGACTATCTGTCTATAACTGGACTTCTCATTGTTGGGACGATCTTGAACAGATCAAACTGAAGGTTGCTTTAGCTCCATTTGGAATAGCTCTAAGCATAAAATAATACAGAAATACCATAAAAATACACACAAAAACACTTAATTTGATGACTACTTATTTTTGCCAAGAGTCCTTTTACTGGAAGAGAGTTGAGCTTCGTGTACTACCCAGCTGTGTGTTGCCGGCTTTAGCTTTGTACTGCTGTAATGCCCGAGTTTCCCAGATTAATTTCAATAATGGAACATCTTAGTCTAATGTTTGCACCTGGAACTCCTTTTCTTTACAAATGCTCAGGAGTCTAGACTGGTAATTTGTTTACAATCTGTAATATTTGTACATTTCCACAAAATTTAGAGTGACTAAGTTTTAAACTCTAGCGACTGTGAAACAATCTGCTAATAATGCAACATATGGTGCAGTAAAACTACTAAAAGTATATGCACATAGAAATACAGTTTGTTTAAAAGGTTACTCAAGTATATGTAACCAGTTACTTGTATAGGAAAGAGTAAAGGCCAGAAGAACTGTTGAAAAATGTTATATCACTGTGTTTTAGAGGAGGACCACACAGAATAAGCAAGTGATTAATATTCAAACACTGCTTTGGCTGTCATATTTTCCCAACTCAGATCCAACAAAATGTAAATTATAACTGCTAAATTATAACTTTTTAAACATAATTTATGAGAAACTTCACCAGCATATCCTTTGAAAGCAAGAGGCCTGAATGAGTTGCAAAAATCTCTTATTTCTGTGGCTCTGACCCTCAAACAAACAAACTGAAGCCTTTTGTGGAAGACTGGTTCTTTTCTACATTACTACATGGTGTAGGTTATTTAAAAAGCCCCTGTTTTCAATAATTGTGGTTTAATTGAGCCGTGTTAGAAATGTAGAAGTACAAGTACCTGCTCTATTAGATCGGTTTGATGCCAGGGAGGTGCTTTATAACAACCTTTTTTTTCTTTCTTTTTCTCCTCTGGCGTCCGTACTGACAATTAGCCAGATTAGAGGAGTGGAGATGTAATTTGGGCCAAACGTAAGTATCGGCTGTTTGTGCGCGCGGCTGCGTGAGGTGAGAAGGCCTCGCGCTGGTGATTAATTACAGCCAGGCCGCGTGACAGAGGTTGAGGCTCTCCCAGTGCTGTCTGCAGCCCACATGAAGGCAAATCCAGCCTGGGCTAATTGACCCGGCTTCTGTAAGGCCATCCATCAAGCGTGGCCCAAGCGGACCCGTAAGAAACACATTATTCAGAGGTAAGTTTGTTAACCAACCAACGCTGCACCATTCATTACTGCCATTAGCTCTACCTTGTCTCTGGAAAGTGCTCGACGCTCCGCGACAGTTTTTTTTTTTTTTTTTAGAAAAAGAGGCTTTTTCGGCTTTAAAAATAAAATATTGTCAGCGGAGGAACTTTTAACATTTTGTCAACAACGTTTTTCAATGATACTGAAGTAGTAGACCAACACAAAGTTGTGCGCAATTGTACTTTGGGTTTAAATTGAAACGTCTGGAAGTTTCGATTTAAACTTCTAGAATCTTGGATACAAGATTTTTTTTTTTAAGCATCAAAAAATGACCTCCCATGACCAGATACTTTGGATTTCCACCTCTTACTACAGTTGAAATATTTTGGGGTATGTCTCTACAGGCTCTGCACGTCTAAAAACAAGCTTTTCCCAGTCTTTAAAAATATTTTGAGCTCAGTCAGGCTAGATGGAGTGTTCTTGTGAACATTAAGTTTTCCAGCTTTCAAACGGAAGGCTGGAGCAGAGAAGCTCGACTCTATAGTTCTCAATGA